CAGGATAGCTGTTGATATAGAACAGTTATTTCCACCCCCCCCCCCATTTTCCAGATGGAAATACTGAGGCTCAGAGAATGTAAGTACCTTGGGCCAGTCATACGGGTAGAAACAGCAGTGCTAGGATTCGAAATCAGGGCCTTAGCACCTCACCACCCCATCAGGGTGCTTGTGGCCAGCATCTCCACTTTGAGTCCTGTGATTGGCAGGACACCCTTTAGAACACGGATGAAGGTTGCTCTTTTCCATCCAACCTTTAAAATACTTAGGTGTGAAACATGCCAATCACACCTCAGGTTAACACAGAAGATGCTGAGGGCCACTCAGGTGGATATTTTTGAACCTTATTGAAGTGGATATTTGTGGTTCATCTACTTCCCTGCTCAGCAATATTATCAAATATTTGATGTATTCCAGGCAGCAAAGAAGACACAGAATACCATCGCACGGACTGTAACCCACCAGGCTTCTCTGTCCATGGGATTTCCCTGGCAAGAATACTGGAGTGGGTTGCCATTTCCTTCTCTAGGCGATCTTCCTGAGCCAGGGGTTGAACCTGGGTCTCCCACGTTGGCAGATGGATTCTTTACTGCTGAGCCACTGGGGAAGCCCTGATCGCAGGAGACAAGACAAAAAATGTTCTCTTATTCTCTGCTGTGTTCCTGGTGCATAGCTCAGAAATTACTTGTTAGTTTTTTGAGTATCTGTTGGGTTGGTTAAAAAGTTTGTCTGGGATTTTCTGAAGAATGGAACGGAAAAACCTGAGTGAACCTTTTGGCCGACCTAATACTGTACCCGAGGTCCTGTACATGCCAGACAGATGTCAAGTCCAGGAGGCTTTTGGCGAGAGGGAGTGGGGCTTGAGCAGGAGAAAGGGGGAGGAGAGAGCTTGAAAGTCCAGCATGTGCCCCAGCGAGGGGCTGGGGAACAGAGTGAACGAGGCTTGGACGTCAGAGCCTCCTTGAAGGCTTTTGAGCAGGTGGTCCAGAACCAAGTGTCTGGCACCACAGTGCCAGGAGAGGGGGAGCCCAGCCTGCAGTGGTCAGGGCCTCCCTGTGTTTCTGGAAGAACTAGCCACACCAGGGACCCAGGAAGGAGGATTTAATGGAACTTGGTGGGGCCACACGATATGCTAAAAATGTATGTATGAATGAGTTGCAGTTTCTGGGCACCCATGTATTTGGCTATAAATACACATTACATGTGTAATTTCAAGAGACCAAGAATTATCAGCTGCGAAGCCCAAGGGCAGCAGCCCACGCCCAGCCCCTGTAGTTTGCTGTCTCAGGCCCTGCCCTTTGCAAACCGCCAAGGACTGTTATTTGGGGGGAAATGAGGGGTCCTGTGGCGAGAAGACAGCGTCTGGTGATGGGAGGGCAGAGCAGAGGGGCCTGGGCGCCCCGAGGGGAGGCAGCAAGTGGGGATCAGAGGGCGGCCCCTGTGTGCCACGTGCCTGCTTGCCGGAGAGGGGCTCTTATGAGACCCTCTGAGCAGCTGATTGCCCTGTCACTGCCCATCACTTTCCATGGCAGTTTCTTTTTCCGAGTTCTTACTTTAAAAACATGGTTCACGTGGAGGGTGAGGGAGTTCTGCTTCTCACAGCGTGGTGCTAGAAAGTCCCTGGGATTCTTTAGGGGTCCACAATGTCAAAGCTGTTTTCATAGTAACACCCAGATATTATTTGCCTTTTTCACCCATTCCCTCCAAGTGCACAACCCCGTGAACCAGTGTTTTCCAAGTAACCATTGCACAAAGCCATCAAGTCACGCATGGGTAAATGAGCCAGAGTGCAAGACAGACCGAAGATGGGGAGGTCAGAGTACACCTCTTCGCTTCAGGGCTCAGGTCCCCCGCTGCAGCTGATCTTTAAGAAACTGCTGCTCAGGCTTCCCTGACTCAGTGGTGAAGAATCCGCTTGCCAGTGTGGGAGATACGGGTTCGATCTCTGGTCTGGGAAGATCCCACAGGCCACAGAGCAGGTACTGCTCGACAAGTCTTAGTGTTTTGTCAAAGAGGAATATCCACAATAATCTGGAGAGGCTCTTAAAATCTCCCTTTACCAACTCCCTATCTGGGTGAGGCTGTATTTTCTTCTAGTCTTCAATGAAAATATTTTACAATGTTTACGAGTATGGGATTCACAGATACATACTACTATATATAAAATAAGCAATGAGTATTTACTGAATAGCACTGGAAACTGCGTTCAGTATCTTGTAATAATCTATGATAGAAAATAATCTAAAAAAAAAAAGTAACAATCATTTTGAACACCTGAAATTAATACCATATTGTAAATCAACTGTATTTCAGTTAAAAAAAAAAAAACACTTAACAATAAATTGAATGCAGAAGCAGATAGAGAATCTGGCTGTTAATAAATTTTTTTGAAACTAGATTTATGAAAAACAACTTATTTATGCTAACATATAATGAGTTTATTATTTTCAGTTAACTAGTAAACATTTCAATTTTGTCTCAGTTTTAATTTTGTATATGATAAATATCAATAGATTGACGCATGTAACAGAGGCCTCTGAGGGCCCTCAGTCACTTTGAAATTGTGAAAAGACCCTGAGACCAAACCATTTGAGAACAGCTGTGCAGGGCAAAGCCCCTGCGAGCTGGGGGCTGGATATGAGCCCAGCACCCATCTCTGTTCATCTGTTTTCCCCTTCAGTCCCTCAGGGATCCTGCGAGGTCGGTGTGATTCTCTTCACACCCATTTTACAGACGTGGAAGCTGAGGCACTGAGTGTCTGAATACCTGGCATAAGCTATGCAGTACAGAGGTGGCTTTGCTGGCAGCACCGGCCAGCAGGGAGGTCCCAGACCAAAGTCCCTGCTCCCCAGGCAGGGAGGAAGGCAGACGCCCAAGAGAGAGCCTGTTAACGCAGGCCAGGTCTGTCCTCATGTTACTTTCAGATGTATCACGCGCTCTTCAGGGTGGCACGGGGCCTGGCCAACTGCGAGCACACTTCCTCACCCTGCCTCCTCTCCAGAGGCCCAGGAAGGAGGGCTCAGGTTTGCCAAGTGGCAGCAAGGCACTTGAGAAATCAAGTGCTTTTCATTAGGAACAGCATCTCCTGGTCAGGCGTACACAGCCTTGGCAGCCAGGAAGTTTCTTCTTTCTCAACAGCCCATAAAGTGCCATTTGAGCAGGCACTTTGTGTGGGGTTTTTTGGTTGGTTTGTTTTTTTCCCAAGTTTTAGTAATCAGGAATAAAGCTGCTGTAATAATTTTTATACAGGTTTTTGAGTGAACATGGTTTCATTTCTCTTGGAAAAGTACAGAGAAGATAGTGCTGCTAGTTACTGAACAGTGATTTATGTACAGCAGTTTCCTGGCGGCTCAGATGATAGAGAATCTGCCTGCTATGTGGGAGACCTGGGTTTGATCACTGGGTTGGGAACATCCCCTGGAGAAGGGAATGGCTACCTACTCCAGTATTCTTGCCTGGAGAATTCCAAGGACAGAGGCGGGCTGCAGTCCATGGGGTCGCAAAGAGTCGGATCCAACTGAGCAACTGATACTTCCACTTTTCATGAATATTGTATAAATGTATTAAATGGACTTTCAGTATAGCACAGAAAAAAAACACAGTAATGATGTTTTGGAAGCGAACTTTCCAGTTCTTTAAGCCTGCTGACTTCTCAAGGCTAAAATTTCACATTAAAACCTTGGTCCTTTCTTTGCTGAAAAAGGCATTCGGTTGGCCCAAAAGTTCATTAGGGTTTTTCTTTTTTTCTCTCTTTTTTATTTTTTAATTGGAGGATAATTGCTTTACAATGTCGTGTTGGTTGCTGCCATACAGCAACCCGAATCAGTCACAATTATATATATATGTCCCCTTCCTCTTACGTCCCTTGCCTCTCTCCCATTACACCCCTCTGGGTCATCACAGCATGCCAGACTCGGCGCCCTGTGTGAGCAGGGACTCTGGAACAAAACAGCTTTGAGTACTGAGTGCGTGTGCACATTTCTTACCTTCTATGGGCCTCAGTTTTCCCATCTGTGTAATGGGGACAATGATGGCCTCGAAGAGGTGCCATAAGAATACAGTGAAAGAAGGTGGCTGCAGTCCATGGGGTCGCAAAGAGTCGGATCCAACTGAGCAACTGATACTTCCACTTTTCATGAATATTGTATAAATGTATTAAATGGACTTTCAGTATAGCACAGAAAAAAAACACAGTAATGATGTTTTGGAAGCGAACTTTCCAGTTCTTTAAGCCTGCTGACTTCTCAAGGCTAAAATTTCACATTAAAACCTTGGTCCTTTCTTCGCTGAAAAAGGCATTCGGTTGGCCCAAAAGTTCACTAGGGTTTTTCTTTTTTTCTCTCTTTTTTATTTTTTAATTGGAGGATAATTGCTTTACAATGTCGTGTTGGTTGCTGCCATACAGCAACCCGAATCAGTCACAATTATATATATATGTCCCCTTCCTCTTACGTCCCTTGCCTCTCTCCCATTACACCCCTCTGGGTCATCACAGCATGCCAGACTCAGCGCCCTGTGTGAGCAGGGACTCTGGAACAAAACAGCTTTGAGTACTGAGTGCGTGTGCACATTTCTTACCTTCTATGGGCCTCAGTTTTCCCATCTGTGTAATGGGGACAATGATGGCCTCGAAGAGGTGCCATAAGAATACAGTGAAAGAAGGCTTGTACAAGGCTTGGCAAAACACTCGCTCAAAGCAGGGTTTAAAAAAAAAAAAAAAGGTGACCCTGGGTCTGGCATAGCATCTGGCAGGTTCTTGGGGTTGTGAGGTGAAGACAATTTCCTCACCCTGCTCACCAGCAGTGCCTACTGTCAACTGGCTTTCTTGCTCAGCCTACTGAGCCAGTCTGTGCATCTCCAGCAGGTGTGTGTGTACTACGGGTCTGTGTGGGTGACTAGGTAGTTGGTTTTTAACAGATGTAAGAGACAGCCTCCTATTCACAACACTTCTCGTTTTAGCAGAGAAAGCCAGTTGCTTATTGTGTGTGTGTGTATATATATATAGTTCCGTAGTACTCCACTGTATGAATGAACCACTGTTTCTTTTACTGGGCCTCTCACTCATGAACATTCAGGCATTTGCAGTCTTTTGCTTGTAGCCAAAAGGCAACAGAGGGCAGGATTCCTAGGTGTGGAGAGGCTGGGGCAGAGGGTACGTCTCCTGTCCTTTTGAAAGATCTTGCCAAAGCGCTGTCTAGCCACACGCCCCTGCCCTCCGCCCTCCCCGTGGGAGGGGACAGACAGAGCTGTGTCCTGGGCTTCGACACTTGAGGCACCTTCCCATTCTGGTCCGACACTGCCAGCCTGGACTAGAAGAAGCTTCTGGACACTGGGAGAAAGCAGCTCATGACCAGTAAGTGGCTGGTGCTTCACTGGTTTTTTTTTTTCCCCTCTTCTGCCCTTTTCTGCATGTTCATTTTCCTCCCAGGCTGTCACTCCAGGTGGCTTGCTGAAAGTGATATCTAGGCCAGAGTGCTCTTAATGGCTCCATCTGTGGGCCGCTGCAGATCTTTCAGGGGGCCAGACAGGAAGAGAGACAGCCTCCCTCCCGGTCCCCAGCCCCCGCACCACCTCTGTTTGCCAAGGGCCCAGCCAGTCCCGCTGGCGGAGGAGGAACCCAGGACCGGGTGGCGATGTTTGCTTTGCACGGGGGCTGTTCTCTGGCCCCTGCTTTGTTCTCCGCTCTGTCTCGCTCTGGATAACTGAAAGGAAACAAGCGATTTCAACAGATGGGCGAACCGGAGCACCGAGGTCTTTGTCCCCTCTGAGAGCCAGGATGTCTGTTTCATTGGCCCTGCTCCTGTCTTCAGCAGCAGCTGGGCTTGCAGACTCGCAGACCCCCAGTCTCGGGGCCAGAGCTGAGGAGCAGCAGGACACAGCAGTGGAGCCCGGGTGGCAGCCTCTCTCTGCCCCACTGAATTTGGAGGCATCTGAGCCACCTCTCTCTAAGCTGAAAGAAGCCTCTTTGTTGCCAGTTGCTTTCCTGAAGCAGGCTAAACAGAGCTGCTAGGACAATCTGACATCAAACGTCTGTAATAATTCTCCAAAGATTTTTATCTCAAAGCGAAAGTTGCTCAGTCATGTCTGACTCTTTGTGACCCCATGGACTATACAGTCCATGGAATTCTCCAGGCCAGGATACAGGAGTGGGTAGCCTTTCTCTTCTCGGGTTCCATCCCTGGGTCGGGAAGATCCCCCGGAGAAGGGAATGGCTACCCACTCCAGTATTCTTTCCTGGGAAGTCCGACGGACAGTGGAACCTGGTGAGCTACAGTCCATGGGGTTGGAAAAGAGCTGGACGTGACTGAGTGAGGAAGCACACCTCAGCACAGAGATGTTGTTTGTTGGATACAAATTCAAAACTACGGATGAATGAATTAGGAAGTCAGGGTGGTTCTGTGCTGCACAGACATTAAAATTACTGCCAGCGATCCCAGAGAGACTGAGCAGGTTCATCCTGGTGTTTGTAAGCAGGAGGCCCAGCCAGTCTGTGTTCAGTGATGAATGGAACATGCCGACTCTGTGAATGGGTAAAAACAATGTGAAATCGTGTTCCGTAACTGCAACAATGTAAAATGTTTGGGAATAATGGCTGAAAATAAGAAGCCAAAGTGAAAATAGTTACTCTCTTCAGTATTTCTCAACCTTAATCACTTCCCTACCACAAACCTTTTTGGACCTTTTATTCCTAATTGCATTCAACCCTGTGCTTCCCCCGCATAAATTTTAATACCAGGTATACTATAAGGATATACTTAACCTTCCCTGGTGGCTCAGATGATAAAGAATCTGTCTGCCATGCCAGAGAGTTTGATCCCTGGGTCAGGAAGATCCCCTGGACGAGGGCATGCAATGCACTCCAGTAGTCTTGCCTGGAGAATCTCATGGACAGAGGAGCCTGTTGGGCTGCAGTCCATGGGGTCACAAAGAATCCGACACGACCTAGCGACTCACACTGTGTGTCTGTGTTTGGTGTGTGTGTCTGTGCTTTGCACCTAGAACAAATAAGAGTTTTTTCTGTCCTCCAAGAGCCAGTGGTTGCCTCCTTAGGACAGTGTTCCTGCCCACCACCTCCTGATAGCCTCATCCCCATGAGAACGTCTGTGCTGGGGCTGTGATTCCTGGGGATCTTCATCTTCTGTATTTTGCCTTCTCTTCCGTGTTGTCTTCAGTAATAATGACTGAGCTCTGGGGTGTGCCTGTTGGCCTGTCTCACTTGGTTCGTGGAGCCACACCCAGCGGAGGGGGTCTTGAGCAGAAGAAGGGGCACTGACCATCCGTGGCTGCATCTCCTGGGCTGGACGTGTGGCCCTGGCAGTCATTTCAGGGAGTCATTCCACATCTCCTTGCCCTGTGTCCCAGCCTGTAAAAAGCACTCAGCACAGAGCCTCGTACGTAGTCGGTGCTCATCACTATGGTTTGTTAGTAGTACTGTTGTCATCCCCATTCATCTCTGAGCTGCTGTTTTCTTATTTGTAAATTACAGAACCGAGAGGCTGTGTGGTAGGATCCCACCTCTGATGCTCTTCTAGGTGAGTGAAGCCTCATGACTGTGCCTCCTAAGTCATTTGGGTCGTGTCTGACTCTTTGCGACCCCATGGGCTGTAGCCCACCAGGCTCCTCTGTCCATGGGATTCTTCAGGCAAGAATACTGGAGTGGGTTGCTATTTCCTCCTCCAGGACATCTTCCCAACCTTGGAATCGAACCCATGTCTCTTAAGTCTCCTGTACTGGCAGGTGGGTTCTTTTACCACTTAGCGCCACCTGGGAAGCCTAGTTTTGGCCAGTGAGATGGGGGCAGAAGTGATGTGTGTCCTAAGCCAAGCACCAGTGCCACTCTTGCTGGATCTTTCTCTCTTCCCAGTGGCTGTGACTGGTGCTGTGGTGTCATTTGGGTCGCCGGGAGTGATGGTGATGGGAAGAGCACTCTCCTCCCCTCACCCCAACCACCAGCTAACCCACAGAGCACATCTCATGAGCAAGGAATGTCTCTGCCCCCAGCGCCACTGAGGCTCGGGGTTGTTGGTTGTCGCAGCACAGCCCAGCCCATCTTGATTAGAACCGAGTCATCACCTTGTCAGGCTTGGCTATGAGGATGAAATCTTCCATGTAAGATGCCCAGTGCAGTGTGGGTACATGGTAGTCAGGCGCTCCGTCTGGCTCCCTTCCCGACCAAATTCCCCACTGATTCTTTGCAACAGGTGTTGCTTCATCTTTCAGCAGCCTTTCACAGGCCTTGACCCCTTACCTCCTGTCCTCTGCCTCTTCTGGGAAGAAAGCCTGTTGCCCGGGAAATGCCAGGGCAGCGTGCCACCCAGACCCTTCCTCGGGGTGGCCCGCCCACCCCGGTGGAGCTGGCATCCATCCACGCAGCATGATCAACTCAGAATAATAGCCCTGATGACCAGAGGCCACTGTCCGCCTGGGACCTGGCTTATATCAATCATGAGAGCCCAGTGGCTGCATTTCAGGTGTGCTTAACAATCGTGTGCATCAGGTGAAAAGGCCGGAGCATGTGGAGAAGGCCCTGAGGCGCCTGCCTGCCCCTCTGGGTCCTCTGGGACCCCGTTTCCCTTCCTGACTTTGGGTGTGGGTGACAGGGTCACTGCCCGCCTGGGAGTATGTGTGAGTGTGTGCGAGTGTGTGAAACCCTTTTGCGGTGGCGCTGCTGCTCAGATCTCAGGACCGCAGGTCGGGACCTGGCTGCCCCACAGGGTGCCTTGTAGGAGGGTGTGCAAGGGCTGGGCTTCGGCCCCGTGGGGGTGACCTCAGGGGTGGCCTCCGTGTTCTAGAACCGCCCCCACGGCCAGCCCAGTGCCCTGCAGAAGGGCTGGGGCTTGCGATAAGGCCAGGCTTGGGGGAGGCCGCTGGCTGGGGCAGGGCGGAGCAGCCCCCAGCAGACGCTATAACCACACAAGACCAGGAGGTGTGCCTTACACAGTTCCGGGACATTCCTGCACGTTTGAAACCTTTCACAATTCCAAGCTGAAAAACGAGATCAAAATAAACGCACAGTGGAAAATATCAACAGTTTTAAAACAGGCCAAAGATGAATAGATGTATAGTTTTTTTTTTTTTGGTTCTTTTTTTTTTTCAAAGAAAGGGCCATTGAAAAGTAGAAGCATCTAGGGAAAGGCCCCGTTGACAATTTGTTTGTATCTAGAGTGATCTGTGGCTCTGCTTCTGTTATATTGGTCATGCTGATTTTACTTTCAGTTAGCAGGTCTGCCTGCTTATGAGGGGCTTAGTTTGTTTTCCACTTGAAACTTGAATGGATGGCTGCCCCTGCACCCCAGGGGCTCCCCGAGGTGTGTGCGTCCTCCAGGCGTGGGCAGAGTGGGAACTTGGGCTGCAGCATCATGGGGTGTCCTCTCAGAACCCCCCTCCCGGGACCCTGGCTGCAGCATGCGACCCTGCGTGGGTGTGTCATCTGATAGCTTTGGAATCCTTCCTTATCACAGTTCTAGAAGTAACCCAGACCCAGCAGGCTTGAGGAAAACCTTCAGTGTTTTTCCTGACTACAAAAATACTGTATATTCATTAGGGAAAAAAAAAATCAACTTAAAAATGAACAGAGTGGACAGTGAAATAGCCCTTTATTCAGAAGTGAAGGTTGCCGTTGGAGCATGGCTGGGGGGAGTGTCTTCTCTGATTATTCCGTGGCAGTGGTAGTGGCAGCAATAATTAAACAGCTGACTGGGTGAGGAGAGGGCCCGACCGTCCCGATGCTTACCATCCACTTGTCTCATGTATTCTCCCGACAAACCTACGAGGCCGCAGCTGCTTTCATCATCACTTTCGTGGCTGAGAAAAATGGGCGCAGAGAGGTGAAGTCACTTTCCCAGGGTCACGCAGGAAGGGCTGGGCTGTCTCCAGGGGCCCTGTTCCTGTGTGGCAGACCCGGCTGCACAGTGCATGCTGCCCCTCCGCTCTCCGGGCTGGGGTCCGCTTCTTACAGCTGGGACGTCCAAGGCGAATTCTTCACGCGCACATCTGGCTCCAGGGCTCCGGAGTCCCTGGCCCCGTGTGATGGTGTCCCTGCCCGTCCCTGGCCTTGCTCTTCCCTGCAGGGCGGCGGAGAAGCCTCCCTTCCCTGCCGGCATATCCTGGCTCCACTCATCACTCAAGTCTCAGGCCACGCGTCCCTTCAAAGGGGCCTGAAAGAACCCGCCGTGGCCTTGTTGCCTCGTGGCCCACCACCTTCTTACTTTCTACATAGAACTTATGAAAGAGAAGTGAAAGTGTCCAGTGGTTTCCTCACTGCGGACGGGTCTTGTCTGCCCCTTCCCTCCTGCCTACCCCAGCGTGCAGCCCTGCTGAGGCAGGAACCTGTCTCCCCGCCTGGCATGTGGGAGTTGTTCAGAAAGTTTGTGGTGGATGAGCGGGTCAGGACCACATTACCTGCAACCCCTCAGCTGGGCCCTGGGCTTTTCCAGCTCCCTCTGGCCTGGAAGGATGGAGTTGATACCCTCATTCAGAAAATTGCTGACTCCTGGCTGGGGGTGGAAGGCGGGGAGGGGTGAGTGATACAGGACAGAGCTGGACCTCCCAACGAGTGACCCCCAAAATGCAGCTCTGGTCTCCTCCGGCACCTTTTTCTCTGAGAATGGCACTGGAATCTTTGGAGAGCTTGGCAAGGTTTCTTCTGAATGTCTTGCCCCTTGGCTTGTTTCCTTGTTTATTTGAGTAACTTTCCAAGGGGCATGGAAGGGGTGAGCTGGAACCCATGTTATTTGGTGCCTTATTTTTGGAGGAGGGGGCAATTTTAAAACATTTATTTTTATATATTTTTTATTTTATTGGAGTATACTTGATTTATAATGTCAGTTTCAGGGGTACAGCAGGATGATTCAATTAGACATACACATATATTCTTTCTTTTTTATTGTGTGAGGTGATGCCTCATTGTAGTTTTGATTTGCGTTTGTCTAATAATAATAAGCTATGCTGAGTGCTTGTTTTGGCCATCTGTATGTCTTTTTTGGAGAAATGTCTGTTTAAATCCTCTGCTCATTTTTTGATTGAGTTGTTTGTTTTTTTGGATGCAGAGCAGCAGGAGCTGTTTGTATATTTTGGAGATTAATTCCTTGTTGGTCACATTGTTTGCAAGTATTTTCTCCCATTCTGTGGGTTGTCTTTTCATTTTGCTTATGGTTTCCTTTGCTGTGCAGAAGCTTTTAAATTTAATTAGATCCCACTTGTTTACTTTTGTCCTTATTTTCATTAGGAGGTGGACCCAAAAAGATACTGCAGTGATTTATGTCAAAGAGTGTTCTGCCTATGTTATCCTCTAAGAGTTTTACAGTGTCTGACCTTACGTTTAGGTCTTTGATCCATTTTGAGTTTATTTTTGTGTATGGGATTAAATGATGTTCTGATTTCATTCTTTTACATGTAGCTGTCCAGTTTTCCTAGCATCACTTGAAGAGACTGTCTTTTCTCCATTGTTTTTTCTGCCTCCTTGGTCATAGATTAATTGAGCACAGGTACAGGGGTTTATTTTTGAGCTTTCTATCCTGTTCCATTGATCTGTTCTGTTTTTGTGCCAGTACCATACTGTTTTGATGACCATAGCTTTGTAGTATAGTCTGAGGTCAGGGAGTCTGATTCCTTCAACTCTGTTTTTCTCTCCTAGGAATGGTTTGGCTGTTCAGGATCCTTTGTGTCTCCATACAAACTTAAGAAAATTTTTTGTTCTAGTTCTGTGAGAAATACTCTTGGTAATTTGCTAGGGATTGTATTGAGTCTGTAGATTGCCTTTGGTAGTACAGTCATTTTAACTATTGACTCTTCCAATCCGATCTCTGTGTCATTTTGATTTCTTTCATCAGTGTCTTAGTTTTCAGTCTACAGGTCTCTTGTCTCTTTGTGTAGGTTTATTCCTTGGTATTTTATTCTTTCTGATACAGTGGTTAATGGGATTGTTTCCTTAATTTCTCTTTTTGATCTTTTGTTGCTAGTGTATAGAAATGCAACAGATTTCTCTGTTAATTCTGTATCCTGCAATTTTCTCAGATTCACTGATGAGCTTTAGTAGTTTTCTGGTAGCATCTTAAGGATCTTCTGTGTATAGTAGTATCATGTCATCTGCAAACAATGGCAGTTTTACTTCCTTTCCAATTTTGATTCCTTTTATTTCTTTTTGTTTCTCTGATTGGTGTGGCTAGGACTTCCAAAACCACACTGAATAAAAGTGGTGAGAGTGGACATCCTTGACTTGTTCCTGATCTTAGAGGGAAAGTGTTCAGGTTTTCACCATCAAGAATGATGTTAGACGTGGGTTTGTCATATATGGCCTTTATTATGTTGAGGTATATTTCCTTTGTGACCACTTTCTGCAGAGTCTTTACCATACATGGGTGTTGAATTTTGTTGAAACCTTTCTCTGCATCTATTGAGATGATCATATGACTTTTAGTCTTTGGTTTGTTAATGTGATATATAACATTGAAGAGTGTGGTGACATTTGTTAATGTGGCGTATAATATTGAAGAATCCTTGTATCCCTGGGATAAATCCCATTAGATTGTGG